AGAGAGAGAGAGAGAGAGAGAGAGGGAGAGAGAGAGAGGGGACCTTAAGTGGTTCCACACTCAGTGCAGAGTCTGATGCAGGGCACAGTCCCACAGCTCTGGGATTGTGACGCTCAACTGACTGAGCCTCCCAGGTGCCCTTAAGTTGCCAGGGCTACTTAAAGCTTAGGTTCAGAATTGGCACAATGTCACGTCACCCACGTTCAATTAATTAAAGCACATCACAAGCCCAGCCCTCTTATAAGGGGAAGTTATTATACAAGGTCATGCATACCATGAGATGTCCATGAGGGCCATCACATTCCCCTCTGCCACAACACATGTACTCAATTTTTTTTCCTCCAGAGTGAGGTCCTTCTGTAGTAAATGGAATTGCTATGGTTGGCAAAGCATCTTGCTCATTTCTTGTCCCAAGGCCCGAGTCTGCTGCTGAGGTTTTGGTTTTCTGCATTTACAGTGTATACTCTGAAAGAGCGGTGCCTCCAGGTTGTCCGAAGCCTAGTCAAGCCTGAGAATTACAGGAGACTGGACATCGTGAGATCACTCTATGAAGATCTGGAAGACCATCCGAATGTAAGGAAAGACCTGGAGCGGCTGACACAGGAGCATATTGAAAACCAGCGGATGGAAGGGGAGACTGAAATGAAATGAAATGAAACTGAAATGAAATTTGCACTCCTGAGTCTCGGCCTTAGATGGTACTGACTAGTCTTGATCTACATTTAGGACTGGTCACTTATTCTCAGATTCAAGGTGTCTCATTCCCGGAGGGAAAAATCCTCCATTGCTTAAAGGAAAGTTAACTGACTTCACTAGGCATTGTGATGTTTAGGGGCAAATGTCACGAAATGTAATTTAATGCCTGCCCTTTCTATAAGTATTCAGGTATTCATCAAGTAGTTGCATTTTTGCCTCCTAGTAAGTCAGGAAAGTTTGTATGTAAGGACTTTTGTGTAAGTGCTTCAATGAGAATTGCAGCATACTCTAAAATTGTAAGAAAACAGTGGCATCTGCTTTTAATTGCTGTGTTGTGGTTGGTGACATGTCAGCCTCCCACTTGGAGAAGACAGACATGTCCTTGAGGCAGGGACAAGTCTGTCTTCTCTTTGAGACCCCAGTGCCTCACACATTATGAGCCTTCAGTCACTGTTTGTTGAATGAACAAACCAGTGGATACTTTGGTAGAAAGTGTTTGGAGGTTTTGCCCTTTTTTGGGGGGTGGGGAGGTGGGACCTTACGGTGTATACCATAAACAAATGTTTTAAAGGGAATTACTTTTATAGAAAGCACTTTTTATAACTTTCTAAATTTTGTGCTTTTCTGTGTCCGCTGTTGTTGCAGTGCTCTTTTATTTGTTTCTAAACCAGGATTAGCTTTGTGGTGATCACTTTTTTTAAACTTGACAGCTGAACTGAAGATAGGAGAAAATAGCTGTCCTCTTAATTCTAGTATTAAGGAGCTACTGCTGTACTGCAAATAGGTTTTTGCCAAGTGTGGATATTTCTGTTACTTTTTGTAAATCCATTACATTTCTGTTTGGCTTAGCATTTTTTTTTTTTTTTTTAATGCTGCCAGCATTTTAACCAGGGGCCAGTGGTTTTGGGTGCTGGGGACCACTGAGGAGAGCCACTCTTGGGTTCATGTGGACTCACGAGGCTGCCTGGTTTAGCATTTTTCATCAGGCAGGAACTGGTGAGACTTTGCACCTGGCTGGAAGAGAGGTGGAGGAAGGAAGCCCTCCATCTCTGGGATTACTTACAACACAGAATGGATTCCTGGAGTAGCTAAGAATGTTTTATAGTTTTATAAATGTACAAATCCTTTCTTATAGGCTGGACTTAAATTGATTAATTCACATGCAATACTTCTATCAGTCTTATTTTTTTTTGGTAACTAATAGTTTAAAAAAAAAAAAAATCCCCCCAGTAGAGAACATTTTGGTAAAGACAGTAAAGTAAAAGGAAAAAAAAAAAAAAGATCACTGTAGATATATTACTTGAATACAGCCACTAAACATTTTGAACTTTTAGCCTCTTTAGGGCATCTTGTGGTTGGTTTGGTTTTACATAGTTAAAATCATACTGAATATACAGTTTTGTATTCTACCTTCTCAGTTATAACTTTATAACTTAAATATTTTCCCATGGTATTATAAGCTCTTTTCAGACATTAGTGCGGTCTTCCTTTTGTAAACAGTGGGATATTTCTTGGTATCTCTAGTTCCTGTACTAACCTTTGAGCACAATTCCTGTGCTCTGAAATCAGCATGAACAAGACAATGCTCCACAGTTTCCCCTAGACTTTGTTTCACCTAATCTTAAGCCCCTCTTTCAACATTCAACAAATCGATTAGCTTTTGTTTCTTAAACGCACTGTAGCACTCATTCAGTGACACACCTCTCAGTGTCTGCCGTGTTACGAGCTGTTGGGTGGGAAGAAAGAAATCCTGGGGAGCTGGTAGCAGTACATATTTGAGGGTGGGATGGGATGGGGGATGTAAGAACGTAAGGATTAGTTCAATGTTGGTTGTTTTTTTTTTTAAACCTGTCTTTGTCCAAATGAAATTCGTGTTTCTCTTGTGAAACCATGTAGATTGAGTACTGTGTTGTTTTGTGTGTTGTCCAGGAGGATTAAAAACCTGTAGCATGAATAATATGTTTTTCATTTGAAATCTTATGACTGTATCAAATGTATTGCTCTTAAGAGACTGTGATGTTTTCCTATTTTGAGTTTAAAAAAACCTGTTCTTTAATACATTAAATGGTGCTGAGTAAAGAAAATAGGTAGGGTGTGTCTCAGTATTACTTCAAACAGGCTCTGTTGTGAGAACTGTGTTTCTTTAAAGGCTTGAAGTGGGGAGGGGCATTGCAAATACAAGCAACTGTCTTCATGCTCAGTCCCTTTTCTTTTGTTTTTATTATTTTTATTTTTTAAATTTCCTTAAGTAATCTCTACACCCAATATGGGGCTCGAAGATCAAGATCAACCCCAAGACCAAGAGTCACATGCTCTACTGAGCCAGCCAGGCCACCCACCCTGGTTTTATGTATGTATGTGTTTGATTTTTAATTTTTCTTTCTTTTCTTTTTCACCGTGTTTTATTTATTTATTTTTAATTTTTATTTGCTTATTTTTTCTTAAGTAGGCTTCGTTCCCAGTGGGAATCCCAACATGGGGCTTGAACTCACGACCCTGAAATCAAGACCTGAGCTGAGAGGTGCCTGGGTGGCACAGTCGGTTAAGCATCCAACTCTTGATTTTGGCTCAGGTCTTGATCTCAC